CCAATTAACTTATAGTGCAGCCTAGCCCTAATTTGTCAGTGTCAATGAAATAGTGCAATATCAAGGACAACCAAACTTGGATATACAACCATGTTTATACCTAAGGTTCCTTTTTGGTACTCACCGACAAGGATCAACCGTAATTATTTTCAGTCAGAAAGTGTCCTGAGTTTCCAGAAAATTGTAACTTATTACATTTTAAAAATTGAGGGTAAATTAAACGTTTCGGTTCTGGTTTTGGAGCGAGTCCAAGTTCTTGCAGTGACTAATACTTCAAAGGAAGGAAGGTGGGAAGATTTTCATACTATTAATAGCCTTCTTTGAATTCAGCGTGAAAAATACTGGGTAATTTCTATAGTTTCGGCCATTTAGGGGAACCAAACAAATTTTTGAAAACTCTTCTATCTCATCATTTCAGTAAACTATGATATTATTATTTGAATAGAAGTTAAATGTCAAGAAAAAAAATACCGCAAATTATTATTTTTGGGAGAGCATTACATTGACCAAGGAATACTCTCAAAGTGTAAAGTTTCCCGAACAAAGCTCGGACCCCAGCTACTTGTCAAACAAAGCAATAATGTACGTTATTTCATAAAATTTGTACCTGAGAAATGTACAAATGGAAAATGCATTTCTCGTAAGTGTAAGCGAATCTTAAAATGATAGAATTTGTAATGATACGATCTTAAAACGAGCAGTTCAGTATTCTTATTCAAAACACCAAACACCCGCCACTGGATCAAAATATGCCCGCACGGCGCAATCCGGCACGGTGGGAAGCCCCTCTCGTACAATTTAAATTACGTACATAAGCCAATAATAAAAAAATATGATTTAGAACATTTCACTTTTTGTATACAGAATCCACTGTTTTTAAACTAGCCTGACCAAAAAATAAAATAAAGTAGTAGCCGACAAAAAAAGTTCCGTGGAAATTTGCTATGTCACGTTTCATAAAACATTAAAAATAATCGACTTTATTTGAATATTTAAAATGAAAAGTACCGGGGGACCGAGCCGTGGCTCAGTATGTATATTTCGATTGTAAAAGCAATATAAAGGAAACTCGTGTTTTCTTTGTAACTAATTTCGGCTTTTATTGTTTAAGTTTCAGTGGAATTTTAATTTACTATGATGTAACTTTAAATGGACAATGCAAAACATTAATTTATTTTAATCTTACACATTTCTGTTATTGTAAATAAATCATAGAAATTAAAAAAAAATAAAAGTAGTATTTTTTTAAATACGTTCCTAATGAATGAATTAATATGCGATCACAGGTTAATACAGTAGCAATCAACTACACAGCATTAAAACAGCACAGTGTATGTAAGGGGTGTGATTTATTTCTTGGTACCCAATTAAGTCATTCTTCAAGTATAAGTAAAACTTCAGCATGGGCCTACTCTCTAACGTACTATCATATGATTGATTAGCTGAAGGCAGATAAGTCCGATTCAAGCTTATATTGCTTACTATAAAGATTGTTGTAATACAATTAACTTTAACTAGTGGTCGTCCAGTGGTCGAAAACTCGACCAAAAATATGTAATGTACAGGTTTCAAATGATTTAGGCCTAAAACATTTTTTCCCCGTGTGAGTAACTAAGGACTTCTGGATAATTTAAATATGATATTTATATGTTTCTTACTCAGGAACAATGCCGTTCCGGGACACTATATAAATGGACGTTAACGTGATTATAAATTTGCATTTTACATAGTCAAAATACAATAGGTATTGCGCAACCCTGATATGTTAAGTCATTAACCTTGGTTTACTAATAAAAACTACACCGTATGCTTACTCAAACAAAACAAAACTTGCTTACTGTACAGCAATAAATCACGTAAAGAACAAAACAAAATGAAAATGTAGACTAGAAGACTACTGATACCGTAGTCATCCTAGGCTACTACTACATGATGTTTCAGAACAGAAGTATGGGGATAAAAATATTAAATAACTCATAAAACACCATAAAATCATAGTACTGTACTTAAGTCTTTCTGGTAATAATAACAATGATAAAAATAAGATAAAGATAAAAATTATGTAGAACACCTCTTATTATTTCTCTTTGTTCTATTCTTTCTTTGGTTTCTCTACATCCACAAGTTGTCATGGTTACTAATCACCCAACGACCCAACCACAAAATATTGTAGTGTTGTGACAGCAGACAGAAGCAGACGATTGTCAGTACCGTATGTCAGTGTCAGTGACGATACTGATCGATATTTCTCCGTTTTGCTTCCATCTTATTTTTGTTAAATGAACTGTAATATTTCAATAATTGGGAACCTACTGCACATAAAAATTACCGTAAATATTTAAATATATCGTTCATATCGAAATATTAGACTGAAAAACACAGTTAATAAAACATTTTCTTGGGATTTGTGAGGTTATATAATATATAGGCATCATGATGATGCGACTCCAGTTAAGCGAGGTTCTACTGTATTTGCAAGTTAAAGTTACAAATAGAAAACCCATTATGGTTTGTATTCAATGACCGATGTATTATACAAAATAAATTATAACTTATTTTGA